ACCCATTATCCTTATCTGTGTTAGCCACATGGCTCAGTACCTTTTTCAGCAGGGCAGGTCACATCCTGCTTCTTCGATGATCTTGGCAGGACTGGGGAGTGAGCTTCCTTCTTCCCAGAATTCTCCTGTTCTCATCACCACACCTCCACTTCCTATCAGGTTGTCCCACCTATACTTCCTGCCTGGCTACGGCCAATCAGCATTTATTTAAAACATAATTGACAGACTATAGAATTGTCCTACACCAGACAGTGGACCCCTCAGTTTAGTAACAATGGGGGCTGGTGAGGCGATATAAAAATTCATAGCTTTGGGGGCCTGAGAGATGGCCCAGAGGACCTGAACTCAGACCTCAGAACCAGTGCCAGGCAGCACACAACCACCTGTAACTCCAGCTCTAGGTGGTCCAACACCCTCTCCTGACCTCCTCAGGCATCACCCCCACACACTCTCACCCATCCACCCACCTACCCACTTACTCCTCCATGCATGCAATGCAAAAAAAAAGGGGGGGGGGGAGTTGTCACCTAAGAGCAAGGGTGAAATTCTGGCTTCACTATGTGGAAGGAAAATTGCTTAATGTATCTGAGCTCGAAAATCAAATCCTCTCCAAATAATGTTCATGTATTAGATTGTCATGAGAATTGACATCCCGCCTGGAACACAAGAGGACCTTAGCCAGCAGCTGGGAAGGCAGCAACAGACTGAAACCCTGCTCACATCTGTCCTGTGGTCTCTCCACTTCTGTGCATTCTCTCACCTTTCCCGCCAATAGTTTCTGAGTCACTATTGTGCTGAAACTTGGGTCCTGGAAACCTCAGGGTCCAGTGAAAGAGATAAAGTCTAAGTATATGCTTGGCTGTGGGAAGGCTTTTTAACTGAGAAGTGTATAGTGTATAAAGTTCTCTGGGGATGAATGGGAGACTGTCATGTGGGTCCTAGATAGGAAGGTCCTAACAGAATGTCTAGTATCTGAGAATTCACCTGGTTGACCAGGAATTGGAGAATAAACAGCAAGGGAATTTGCTACCATGAAGAATTGTGCACAGAAAGGCAGATGGGCAAAATGTCCACAGATGAAAAAAAAATCTTCGTTTATGGCTACTGTCTTAGGTATAAACATTAACCCTTCTTCGACAGATGATTGTGCAACTGGTGTTGCCCTGTTAGTTAGAAAGGTTTAGGCCTAGTACTGAAGGGGGTGGGGTTAATCTGTCGACTGATCTGGATTTGGAATCACCTAGTAGACACACTGCTAGCCACACATGTGAAGGCATTTCGGGGGATACTGGGCTGAGGAGGGAAGAACTACCCTAAATGTGTGCTATATTATTGTGGGAGCTGAATGAGGTCTTGAACTGAATAACAAAAGGAAAAGGAGAAAATGAACTGAGCAGCAGCCTTCCCCCCTTTTTTGTCTGTCTGTCTCTCCCTCCCTTGATATGGATACAATGTAACAATTTGCCTCAGACTCCTGCCTTCCCCACCAGGATGGAGAACGTTCAGAATGTGAGCCCAGTTAGACCCTCTTTCCTTAACTTGTGCTTGCCAATGAAAGGCAAAAAGTACCCACTACAGAAGAATAAATGGATAAGCTGTTTTTTAATCAAAGCTGTGATAGTCATCCTTCAAAATAGCTCTCAGGGATCCCTGCCTCCTGGGTTTTGAGCCCGGCCTGGTGCAGTCCTTTTCTACAGTGGACCAGGGTCGATCTGCATGATCGTCTCCAGAGAAGTAAGTTCATTATCCGATATCCGAGTTTCTCATGAAAGACACTTGGGATACGTGCCAAAATGAGAGCATGTCTTTTTACTAACAATCTAGACTTCAAGGTGCACAACACACTTCTACTGATTCTACATCCTCCGTGATGAAGAGCTTGTAGTTACTGTCCTGGCAGCGGGTGCTTCTGCAGCTGGCTTCCTGAGAAGAATCTATTAGCAGAGTCGGTCTATCCTCCCAACAGACAGAGAGCCTGAGAACGAACTACTGAGCTCACAGCTCTGGTAGTGAGGAGGAGAGGGGAAGGCTTAACTTTGAGATTATCTTCTGAAAGGACTTGTTCTGGGTGAGAAGAGGAAGTCACTCCTTATAGATTCAGGAACAGAAGCTGGCAGAGCTGGGGCAACTTGATTGCTTTCCCAGGCCTATCCCATCATTCATTTTTCATAGATTCATGGAAGAAGTGTAAGATACTCCACAGGACGTTGGATGACTCCAATGCCCACACTCCTGATAGGGGACCTGTACGTTTAGAGCGGATGTCCACTATCCATCCTGCTTCCCCCTTCATCATAGAACCCTTCTTGTCTTCTGATGAACTCTGATCCAGACATCTCTTCCAAAGGTGGGAGACTTAGGCTTAGCTGTGGGTTTCTGTGCAGGGGAAGGTCACTGGTTACTATGGGAAATGTGGTCAGAGCAGGTCCAGAGCATCCAGAGACACCCTCGTGTTCTTACCACTGTACTCGATTTAAGATGCATAGTCCCAGAAGGATGGGCTTGGAAGATGCTCATTTCCATTCCAAAGTCACAAATTTCGCTAGTACAGTTTGGATCCATCTGGCATCTTCTACAGATGAGCATATTAGCTAGGAGTCTTCTTGTGTCTTTGCATAGGAGTGACGGTGCCTTCGGCTAGTGTGATTCATATTGCTGCATGTTGGTCAAAGATGCCTGTGGTTTCTGGTGAGTGGTGGATGCTAATTAAAGCCTAGTGAACACTTTTGATATGTGATACTCTCAGAATGACATTGGCTGGTCCGTGTTTGTCAACTGAGGCCTAGTAAGTGCCTTTTGATCTGCGATGCTCTCAGGATGACGCCACTCTCAGCAAATCCATGTTTGTCTGACAGAATTGCAGGGACACATTTTTGGCTAGGATAATGGAGTCATTAGGAACAATAGGTTCGGAATTTGTAAGTAGACCAAGGACTTCCAAATGTGAGGGACTTCTAGATGTCTAGCCATGTCTACCATGTCCACCTTGGGTTCTTGTGATCTAGGCTCAGGACAACCTGTGATACACTAAAAACCAATTCATGGACTTGGTATCTTAGGATTGCCATATGGAAAAAGCAGTTTCCTGTAGAAATTTCCCTGCTGGTTGCCTGAAAAAAAATTAATCAGCATTAGGAAGGAATTTATAAAAACCTTTGACTATACATCAGAGAGTAGAAAAAAAGGGAATATTTTCTAACAGACTTTTCTTCCTCTTTGGGGGGGCAGGTAAAGTTGCACCTCTTTGCTGTGTAGACTTTGAAGCCTGAGACCAGAAAGATTAGAGATGAAAGCTTTGGTATGGTATCGGAGCAGAGCTTCACACTAGTGCTAAGATTCAGGATTTTTATCATCCGAGAGACTGATATGACTTCAGCAGAAGCTCATGCAAGGAAGAGGCTGAAGATGAAGGCCTTTTCTGAAACCACAGCCACCTGCTACCCTGAGCCCCACAGCTAAGATGGCTTTTCCGTCATATTCTTTGGAAACAGGGCCGTTAAGTCAACAAGGGCTGTCGGGCCTGTGGTGGCTGAGACCACATTAACCCTAGCGATAAGGATTCAGGGTTTGTTAGCCCTGGATGCAGCGACTCCAAGAACTAACCCAGCATCTCCCATTCAACTTGGGCAAACATTGCGATTTAGATTTCTTTTTTCTGTTGCATGTCTTGTCTAGATCTGGTGATACTTCCGGGGGACATGTTCCATGTGATATCACGTGTGAAAGCAGAGCTGGTCTTCTGGAAGAGGTGGAAGTAAAGCCCGGAAGGCAGAGTGGCTGCCCAAAGCAGCAGGAAGCTTCTAATCAAGCTGGAGCCTAGCGCCCGGCTCTTTAGCTGTCAGGATGAGCATTATTTTCACTGGCTCACCCTTTTCATCCTTGCTGGCGAGCATCTTCTACTCTGACTCTCAGGTGGCCATTTGCCTATTTCTGTGAAGAAACAGGAAAGCTAGTCCTCACTTTCTTTCTTGTGCTCTAACTGTAGGGCAAGTGTTGCCCATGGGCTGAGGTGTCTCTTGCTTTGGCTCAGCTGGGTCTGATTTTTCTCCCCAATACTCCTTTCTTGTCCCCCCATCCCCAGCCTTCTGCTGCAAGCAGAAAATCTCTCCCACCTGTATTTTCTGCCACTCTTCTCAAGGAGCGTTTGGATTTTGTCATCTCTTGAGTATAAATGCCCAAGAGGTGATAATGGTAGAAACTGGAGTTAAAGGCAAGACGTGCTGGCACAGGACGGCAATCCCAAGCATTCCGGAAGCTGAGGGAGGAGACCAAGTGTTAGACATCAATCTGAGTGCTGTTGTGAGATCCTGTCTCAAAAAACCAAAGACTGGCAGGTAGATCACTACTAAAGCATTTTCATATGTCCATTCTTAGCACGACGATAAGAATCAAAATGAAGCAGATACATATGTTGTTCAGTTGGAACAAGCTGGTTTTTGTGTGCTCCTTAAAATCATACCTTGCAACGGATTGTCTTGTCATGCTGTGATATAAAATCAATTAATATTTCTAACTCTGCAGGGCACTAGACAGAGAACTATAGATAGTAGAAGTAGGCATCCATGGACCTTATGGCTCAAGGAGTGTTGAGCCTACAGCAAAATGCCGAGAAACTTAGAATATCATGTTAATATCTGATCACCTACTTTGCAACCACCCACTAAAAGGGCATGATGGCCTATGGCCTTTGTACAGTGCAATTAAGCTTTACTTTAATTTACTTTAATCAAAATAGAAAATAACTGAATATTTTCTATTATCTACTTTTGTGACCTGAGACATGTCAATTGCTTTCCCTTTTAGCCTCATTATCTCATTGTTTAAATGTGGCAAAACACAGATTGCACTTCAAAATTAGACCCTGCAGTTTAATCTCTCCTAAATACTCTTTATAATATTTTAAAAGTGACAAAATTGTATGCATTTACCATGTTCAAATTGTTTTTGAAATATATATATATCTCCTGATATTTTCTTTTTTTTTCTTACTTAGTTTTTATTCATAATCGTAAACTTAACTCTGCAATCCAGCTAGACTTGAAGGGGAATGAGGAAAATATGGAACCCAAAGAACTTCAGTGAGAGCAGAGATTATAGGGTACTGCGAGCAGATGGGGCTGGGGTGCTCTCCTGAGCTACAGAAGGAATGGTCTGGTGGGTAAGAAGCCCGCAAGTCAAAAGAATTAGAGTTGTCCACAGTCGGAAATGGTGATCTTCTTGCTGGTCTTGCCATTCCTGGACCCAAAACGCTCCATGGCTTCCACAATGTTCATGCCTTCTTTCACCTTCCCAAAGACCACATGTTTGCCATCCAGCCACTCAGTCTCGGTGGTGCAGATAAAAAACTGGGAACCGTTTGTGTTTGGTCCAGCATTTGCCATGGACAAGATGCCAGGACCTGTATGCTTCAGGATGAAGTTCTCATCCTCAAATTTTTCTCCGTAGATGGATCTGCCGCCAGTGCCATTATGGCGTATGAAGTCACCACCCTGGCACATGAATCCTGGAATAATCCTGTGAAAGGAAGAACCCTTATATCCAAATCCTTTCTCTCCAGTGCTCAGAGCACGAAAGTTTTCTGTTGTCTTTGGAACTTTGTCTGCAAACAGCTCGAAGGAGACGCGGCCCAAGGGCTCGCCATCGGCCGGGATGTCGAAGAACACTGTGGGGTTGACCATGGCTGCAGCAAGCGGTGAGAGGGGACAACGGCGTCTGCAAAGCCCTCCTTATATTTTCTAGAACAGCTTTAAGTGTTCCCTGAGCACTCTCAAGTCTATAATACAGAGTTAATTATTGTCACTGTATTGCACAATAGATTTCTTACACTCAAGGGAGCTCCTTAGAATAGCTAGTTTGCTCTTGACTGGTGTGAGATAATCTTTTCAGCATTTATATCTGAATGAGCTCTTGGGAGTCATTGTGTGCCTTGATCACTGCACTTCACCTTAACTCCAGGCTCATCCATACTGCAAAAGGTAAGATTTCATTCTTTTATGTCCAGAACCACCCACTGTGTAAACATGCTGTGTTTTCTTTACCCATCCATCATGGATGGTGTCTTAGTTACTTTTTAATTTTTTTGTAATGAAACACCATTGCCAAGGCAGCTTATAGAAAAAAGGAGTTGCTGAGTGCTTACAGTTTCAGAGGGTGGGTCCATAACTATTATGGCAGGAAGCATGACAGCAGGCAGGCCGGCAAGCGGGCAGGCAGGCAAGCAGGCAGGCAGGCAGGCATGGCATTGGAGCAGTAGCTAAGCACTTTGACCCTTATCCACATGTAGGAGGCCGAGAAAACTAGCTGGGAAGGGCATGGATTTTTGGAACCTCAAATTCCACACCCAGTGATACACCTCCTCCTACAAGGCCACACCTCCTAATTCTTCCTAAACAGTTCCACCAACTGGGGACCAAAGATCCACATAAATGAGACTGGGGACCATTCTCATTCAGACCACCACAAGCAGGGACTTAGTTTAACTCAGCATCTTGATTCTTGTGACCAGTGTTACAGTAATAGGGAAGTTCATGGCTATCTTTGTAAACTGCTTTCATTTCCTTTCGTACTGTAGTAGTACTCCTGGGTCTTAGGTCAATTTTATTCTTAACCTTTTAGAGAACCTCCCTACTGTTTTTCTTAATGGCTGGAGTAATTTGCATCTCTACCAACAGGGTTATGAAGGTTCTCTTTTCTCCTCACTTGTCTTTTAATATTTTCTGTAACGGCCTTTATGAGAAGAGCTAACCCCATAAATGATTTTAAAACAATTATCAGTTTCCATAACAATCAACCACAAAACCTCAAAGGCATATGGTTATGATTCTTTTGGGGTTACTCGGTTCCATGCAATCACCGTGAGATTCACTAGAGCCCAAGGTCCCTTCATTCTTGACCTTTATGAAATTCTTTTGGCTGGTGGATTATAATGCCAGTTTGACTCCCCAGAAACTGGCAAATGTTAGGAAGTTTTGAAGGTCTGATTTTAGTTTTTTTCCCCAGTGTATCACCAATCCCTAAGGCATAGGTGACTTAGGGGAAGGCTAACAGTGAAATCTATAGTGTAATTTTCAATATCTCTTTTTTTTAGAAGAATTTCATATGTTCATTTCCACCTGACTTTTCCTTCTTTCCAACTTTTCCCATGCTCCACTTCTTTTAAAATTCATGACTTCTTCTTTAGTTACTGCTACACACACACACACACACACACACACACACACACACTTGCTGAGAGGGGGAGAGCGAGAGAGAGAGAGAGAGAGAGAGAGAGAGAGAGAGAGAGAGGAGGGAGAGAGAGAGAGAGAAATACTACCTGTTGAGTCCATTTAGTGGTGCTCCTATGAACATGTGTTTTGGGACGACCACTTTGAACTAGATAACTATCTGAGGGATCATTCCTGGACTTCTCCCTTTTAGCAGCCATTAGCTGCCTGAAGCTCTTCGCCTAGGGGTGATCTTGTCCCATCCAGGTGACCATGTCAACTTATGTTGTCATTGGGCAGGTTTTGTTTAAGGTGACCATATTGTTAAGATTTCATGGTTGCAGGTCATATGTAGAAGATGCCGCTATCTCATAGGAGACATCCTGGCCCCCTAACTTGCAGTCTTCCCTCACACTCTTCCACAATGTGTTGTAAGGATTGTACTGTAAATGTTAGTTATGCTCTACATTGTGTTTTTCTGTGATGGTCTCCATTTGCTACAAAAGAAGCTTCTTTGACCGGGGATGGGAGCTACACTTCCCCTGGGTTTAAAAGTAGGTATTTGTCTTTGTTTGTGGAGTAGGATTCTTTCTCAAGGAGACCCAGTCACTTCTTCATTTCAGGGGTTTTGAGTTTAAGAACTGGCCTAAGTCTGACAACACTGTTACTCAGAATTAGTCTGATGTAAATTGGTGACATCACTCACTGGCTGCTTATTGTACTTCCTCTTGAGCTACGCTTTGTGTTTTGATCTCTTTAAGGGTCCTAGACTTCAATCTAGAGGAAGTTCAGATTTCTGGTAAAGCAAAAATCCCTCAGAGGAGACGATCATGGTTCTTCAGACAAGAAATTACCTTCCTAGACAGAAAAGATCTGGTCCTCTTGACAGGGGAGGCTTATATGGCTTAAGGACTTCAGTTGCCCACTTTCATGGGGTTTGTCTCCATCTGAATGCTCGGAGTTCCAATTCCTTGCCAATTAACATCCTAACTTCAACATGGGAAACCTAATGAGTCCTATCTCATTGAGAGGACATTGACTTGTATTGCACTTTGGCCATTTGTGGAACAGATTTTAGATGTGACCTTTGAAAATGACCCTCTGGTTACAGGAGATTGTTTTGTGATGGCCACTATGTATTTTAAGTCCATAATGAAGATCTGGAACTAGAAAGTTTTGTGCTCACCATTTTCATTTTATAACTCCCCAAGAATACATGGAGCCAAGAAAACAAAACAAATATTGACGTTGTATTTGTCAGAATTGAATAAGAGATGCAAACCCCTCGGAATGATACTGAATCACTGAATCATCAGTGACACATTTTAGGGATTTGATCTTATACAGTTGTGGGAGCTCTTAAATAGTTTATGTGCAGTTGTCGCAGTCATGTACCTATGTATTTAAACACACAGATGCATGTATGCAAATATGTTGTACATGTATGTTTGGCATGTATGTGTGGTATGCTGTTGTGAACACACACACACAGTTCAGATGTGTGGAAAATCCGTAGTTCCTGGCAAAAGAGGGGCCTAGGATACCTTGTAACTCTCTGAGTACAAATTCTGAGAAAAGCCAAACAAAATACTCAAACTTCTTTGAACTAGAGAGCTGAGCTTGCAAGAAAAAAAAAGGGAAATACTTCAATCCCAGAAATGACAAGGGAAGTGAAAGGCAGCCGGGCAGGCCTGCAGAGCAGCAGGGGCCTCAAAGGGATTATCTGTAGCTGAGGCGAGGGTGTGGGCTTTTAGGACCACAGGGTATGAAATAAGGATATAGAGCTTTCATGGTGTGGGGAGCGAATCCGGGGTGTGTGAAGAAGCCAAATCATATGAGGCTGGGGCTCGACTACCAGTCACGGGCAAAAGAAAGAGGAAAGAAAGGGGGTGTGGAGGACAGAAAGACGTTAGGGTGACTAAGCACTGGCAAGAGCTACAAAACCATTTCTTTCTTCTTTGTGAATTAAAGAAAAAAAAAAAAGGAAGGAAAAGAAGTCTAACAGGAGAAGATGGCAGCCCAGCCCCAGAACTTGTATAGTCATGATACCCAAAACTTACTGTCCATAAGGACGGAATGATAAGGAAGCAAGAAAGGCTACTTGAATACATTTTTGTTGATTAATTATATTTTTAGAATTGTAAGGGTTATTTCAGTGTAAACATAGAAATAACTCTGAAACCAGAAGAAGGCAGAGGCGGAAGTAGAGTGTGGGATAAATACAATATAAATTATGCAGGAAAGAAAATGGGAATAAAAATTAGGGCAGGGCTGGTGAGAAGTCTCAGTTGAGAAATGCTTGCAACCAAGGCAACCAGAGTTCAGTCCCTTGAACCCACATGGTAGAAAAAAAGAACCGATTCTTGGAGGTGGTCCTCCAAGGTCCACGTGCATGCTTGCCTTTCTCCTCTAAAGAAAAAATAAAATACAATTTAAAAATTAGGGAAAATAGAAAGCACAAAAATGAAGTTATAGAAATAGACCCAAAATAAACGTAAAAACAATCCCAATCAATATAAACTGTATAAATTCAGCAACTCCACACACAGAGGCTGGGATTGCATGAAGAAAAACCAGCTTCGTAGTATAGTTAATGTGATGATTTCAAAATAGAAATAATAATATCATATCAGCCACACTCCAGGACAGGCTCCTCACCAAGGAGTAGTTGGTCAACACAAGCTGAAGTAGATGTTTTGAAGAAAGAGAGAAAGAGATCATATGAAGTTGGGTCAGTAGTAAGGTCAGGAGGATACTCTGGGAGGAGAGGGGATAAACGTGAGCAAAACTCATTGTATGAGATTTTCAAAGAATTAATTAAACATTATATAAACAAACGAACGGCATAAATTTGAAAATAAAATGATGGTAAAAGAAGAATCATTAGCACACAAAAAGGCTGCGCATCTGCAAATATATAGAATAAAAACAGATTTTAACTGAAAAACCGTTGCTGTGGGTGAAGATGATTATTACATAAACATTTGAAGAACAAATTATAATCCCGAGCCAGTAAATTCTTAGAGCATAACCTCACATGGCGGAACTCCAAGGAAAACCAGCCATCAGCAATGGTGGAAATTATATTGCATCCACTGCTCAAGGGCTGGCAGGTAAAGAGCCCAGAAGTCAACAATGGCTTGAACATTTTGACTGATACAGCCAGTAGGGTGGATATGAAAGATAGTTGTCCAAAGCACACTCTGTAAATTAAGGAATATATAGTTGTCCCATGGGGAACAATTTAAGAATAGAGTCCATCTATATTCATGAGATGCCCCACAGATCCCCACGGAGCTAGCAGTATGCCACGCCCCCTTCTCCCTGCATCACCTGCAGAATTTGTTGTTCTTTTCTTTCTGTTCCTTCTGTCTATGTGTTGCTTTGATTAACTGATGAATAAAGCTGCTTCGGCCAATGTCTTAGCATAGTAAAGCTAGGTGGAAAAGTCCAAACAAAGCTACACAGAGAGAGTAGGCAGAGTTGGG